TAGAATATCAACGCTAATACGTCTACAGCATATCAACGCTAATACGTCCATACAATATAAACGCTAATATGTCCATACAATATCAACGTTAATATTTCAATAGAATATCAAAGCGAATAGTCTATAGAGTATCAGCGCTAATACGTCTATAGAATACCAACGCTAATAGTCTATAGAATGTCAATGCTAGTACGTCCATAGAATACCAAAGTTAATAGTCTATAGATTATCATCGCTAATAATTCTATAGAATATCAACGCTAATGTTCTATAGATTATCATCGCTAATAATTCTATAGAATATCAACGCTAATGGTCCATAGATTATCATCGCTAATAATTCTATAAAATATCAACGCTAATGGTCTATAGATTATCATCGCTAATAATTCTATAGAATATCAACGCTAATGGTCTATAGATTATCATCGCTAATAATTCTATAGAATATCAACGCTAATGGTCTATAGATTGTCATCGCTAATAATTCTATAGAATATCAACGCTAATGGTCTATAGATTATCATCGCTAATAATTCTATAGAATATCAAAGCTAATGAATAATGAGAAAAAGTGGCTTCTCGCACATAACTGGTCCAGTAGTTATCCGAAGAAACTTTTAAATAATGTTATGAAGGTTTGTTACATAAAACTGATCATTACAAAGAATTACAAGTTAATAACCTTCTGAATATTGTTATGAAGTTTGTTACATCAACATTCGTAAACTTTAATACTTACAGAGTTGCTATATAAAAGTTTATAAATTTGCTGTATGAACCATAACCATGAAAAGTCTCTACGCGTCAAAGCTGCTCCTAAGTCAGAAGCCTAGATAACCTTTTCCCCTGAATTAAAATTAAAGTTTAAAATTAAATAATATAATCAGAATTATTAATTACATTTAATACAAGTAGAATTTCAATTGCTCCACGAGCGGGATGAAGAGAAATAGACATTTCTGAACATCCCTGGTGGTCTCTCACTAGTTGAGAAACTTTAAATCAAACTCACTACCAAGTAAAAGTAAAATAAAGAAATAGAAGTTACAACTAGTGAACATAGAAGATGAGATAGGGGATGAGCTCCTAATTCATGAAACCCAACTCTCTCTAAACAAAAATTCAATTCTAATTGCAATTGTTCCTCCTCACAAAGTTTTCTCTGATTATATAATTATTAAAAAGAAATTACTAATAACACAAACAAGTTTCAATTACCAAAAGACTTGAAATACTTGCCTTCTTAGAATCCGCGTGCCAGCTACGTCGTAAGCCTTGTGTGGACTCCGTATAGGGGAAATTGTCTGCTCCGTCCACTTGATCGACTGAAGTGTTTTCCGGACGTACACTCGGCATCAAGTGGACCCGATTCCCTGGAACTAGACCTTGTCTTCCACGGAGGGAACACAACCACCATCCTTCCAAGCCTTGTGTATTCTGTTCCAAAACAGTTAGAATGTCACCCTTCCGGAAGGCCAATTCATCTGGACTCTCAGCGATATTGTCATACAGAGCTTTGGCCATACATTTCTGAAACGAGACAAAAAGAGAAGATTGTTAGCGAATGCCAGATGGTAGCAGCCACGATTCCAAATATCTAACACCAATGTTATCATAATGTTAGTCATTAGCTACGTAAATTAAATTAAAGGATACAAATCATAATCCTTAAGTCAGAAAAGTCCAGGCAGACGCAGGAAGTAAAGTTATTGGTAACATTAAAAGCTTTGTAATTTAAAAGTAATTATTTCCCAACAGCACTGGACAATCTCGGGATTGTAAAGCTACAGAAGCGTTTTAATGATAATTACATCATTGAATAATATTTAACAAGAAAACAAACTTCAAACGTAAGAATAACCAAGTACTAATAAAAAACGTAGTTAACTTATTTAAAGAGGAAAACAGGGAGTCTGAACTGAAAGCTGTTTGAAGGAAGGTTTTGGAACAAAAGGAAAATCTGTACCGAAAAATAATATATTTTGAAGCATACTTTATTTGTTATAGAATTGTTGTACATAGTCACTCCAAGATTTGAAATGACAAACTAGAGGGAAGGCAGCTAGTCAACAGCACCAACCGCCAACTCTTGAGCTACTCTTGTTTGATCAAATAGCAAGATCTGACCGTTACTCTTATAATGCATCCACCTTCCCAAGGTGTGGCGAGACGGTCGTGGCTAAGTCGTTAGCGTGTCGAATCGTGAATCCAAGGGTTGACGGTTCGCGCTCCGTTGGCGCAAAATCGTATGTTGCACTTTGGAGCTGTGGGTGGGTTATAACAATCGTGATCACATTCTATTTTCGATTAGAGTAGTCCAAGAGCTGGCGGTGGGTATTTTGAACAAGCTGCCTTCACTCTATTCTTATCAGTTCAAAAACATGGACGGTTGATGTAGATTGTCCTTGTGTAGCTTTGCACGAATACACGAAAAGAAAAAGAGCGTATAAGGAGTTTTGTGGCAATGGGACGTGAACCCTTGGATTCACCGTCTGGGCACGTTAAGTCAGCGGTTCCACTGTATAAAGTTTTCTGAAGAGATATTCATTAGAAAAACTCCAAATCTCTTTAAATTGGTTTTTACAATCATATACATGGCTATTAACATTTAGAGTACTTAAAACGATAGGGCGCATACTGTTGTGTAGGTAGGTCACTATGCCCTTAGCGCAAAACTACACGAGGGCTATCTGCACTAGCCGTCCCTAATTTAGCAGTGTAAGACTAGAGGGAAGGCAGCTAGTCATCACCACCCACCGCCAACTCTTGGGCTACTCTTTTACCAACGAATAGTGGGATTGGCCGCCACATTATAACGCCCCTCACGGCTGAAAGGGCGAGCATGTTTGGTGTGACGGGGATTCGAACCCGCGACCCTCAGATTGCGAGTCGAGCGCCCTAACCACCTGGCCATGCCTTAGCGGTTTGTTACCTAGATTTTGGTGGTCTGTGAAATGAAGAAGATTATGAACCACTGCATTATATAGGCCCCGACCGAACCACTGAGGTATATTTTTGAGTAACTAAAGTTGTCTATTTTTAGCTTCCTCTGCTCCCTGCGAGAATTGAACCCCGGAGTTTAGCGTTAGAAGCCAGTAAACTTACAGCTTATCCAACGAGAGGCCACAGCCAGAAAGAGAAAAGGTATCACATTTATCATAGTGTGATTGATACTAGCAACGGCGAGAAAATAATTAAATAAGTTAAAATGAGTAAGATAAATACCCACACTAGATAAACTTTCCCTGGTTGGTGCCCAGTAGGGTACTATTGACACCTGTTAAAATGGCACACTAAGAATGACACCTGTCATAATAGCTCCAGTAACTACGACAGTCATAAAAATTGCGCTTGTGATCATGAAAAATGTTGGAAAAATTAGGTTTACGCGAAAATAATAGACAAACCGTTTCCTTTTGTTTCCTTCTGTGGTTAGCGTTCCGAATGTAAAACTGTTCCTTCCTGTACCACAGGAAAAACGAAATGACGCTTCACAGTTTGGTACGTTATAAGGGTGACGGTCAAATCCCATTATTTGGTCTTACAGCAGTAGCCGAAATGTTGGCTGTAGGCGGTATTGAATATTTGCCGCCCTTCTAGCCGATAGTAACTTTGTGTGAAATCCAATAGAAAAAACAAACCTTTTGAGGAAAAATGGTGATTTTTTTCTGACTTTACATTGATACTGGTGATTTGTTTCAAGATCCAGTTTCTTTGATTAACTACCTTTCTAATTCCACCAAGAAACGTCTTTTATTGTCATTTGAGCTGCGATGTCGTTATTTGGTTTGGTTTCTTGATGTTAGTTTAGGATAATCTATTATTTCTTCATTATCACTTTAATTAACATTAGTGGTTAGAATGTTTAATACAACTAGTGTTATTTACTTTTACATTCCATTTTAAAAGTTTATACTTTTATTATAGAGATTATTTAGGACTAACCAAAATCTCCTAGGCTGACCAAACCTCGTGAGACATTATTAGGATTATGGCCGAAAATATCGCTACCTACGAGGGTACCCAATTGACAAAACACTGTATTCTAATCTTTATATCTAAGAACGTAAGGAGAGTACACTTAGTTAATTATACTCATTAACAGGTTAAATTTTAGTTTCGCTCTAAGTTGATCGAAAATTAATATTAATTTCGCATTTTATAAAATCTTAACTGAAATTGAATGCTAGATTCAACTCGAAAGGTAGAAACCTTTAAACTCACTTGGAAAATAAATAAAACTACACTAAATACCTGGTTTATTTAGCAGTCGTGTTGAATGTATTCATTAAATTAAATGAAAACTCTGCCTCTAGTACATATTTACTGTGTTCTTATGTCTGCTTAATTATATGTGTACCGGTCAAGAAACATAATTATGTAACAATAAACAAATAACGAGTCAATAAATTTGGGATTATTTACTGTCGCGTGTTCCACACGTTAAGTTGTGCTCCGGCTCATGACGATCAAATGTTAATAGCTTGCTCACCTGGTCCTCCGCGTACGAGTTTAGAAGTGATGAGAAAAGTCGTTGTTTAAAAAAAACAACAAAAAAAAAACAAGCTTGGAAGTAATCGACAAATTCAAACTTAGAAATATGTTACGTTATTTCCATTTTTCCTGGATTCTTCTTGGGGTCTGATGTTGGTTTTGGGTGAAAATGTAACCCCTTGTTATCAATATGCTTGTTGTCAGTAAAACCTAACACGCAGCCATATTTATTAATAGTAGTTTGGCTGTGAACTAACGAGTTCTGGGCAAGGTGATAGGTAGAGGCAATCCAAATCCACAGATAAAAAAATCTCTTGTAAATCACAGAATCTACGGGCTTCCTCAAAAAAAGAAGAATCACAGTTGAGTGTTGAGAAGCAGAAGAAAAGGTACATTTCTCCAATCCTAATTTTTATTAGTACTTGACACGTTTCAACGCCCTCATCCTGGACACTAGCCACATGATGACCAGAAATTTTCGTTTTTGGTGTTTATTTCTTACAAGTGTACCTGCCTTTAAAGCTGTAGTGAACAGTGATTACTAATTTACATTCCTTATTGAATGTTTGTCGTCTATTAATAGTGGAAGTATGTAAACAATAATTGTCTTACAGTTTGAGTAATGCCTGTTTGATAATACGTAAACATCCTGCATGGGAGGAGATTTTCATGTGTTAAACTGATGAAAAAGAAGCTGACAGGATAAATTAAAATAAAAAAAGGAAGGCGGGAGTTTTGTTTAAAAAGGAGCTACTTTGTTAACACTCCGATGCGTTTTTTTCTGCGTCATAAATAAAAGGTTCATTCAATCACTAGAATGGAAACAGCTTGATTTGGCTACAATTAGCCCCTCAGTAGCACAGCGGTATGTCTGCGGACTTACAACGCTAGAAACCGGGTTTCGATACCCGTGGTGGGCAGAGCACAGATATCCCATTGTGTACCTTTGTGCTTAAGTGCAAACAAATAAACTTATAGAGATATTCTTTTTTTTATAAAATTTAAGCCATGTATGTGATAGAAAATAGTTTGACTTTAGAGGATGGTATAATAACAAAAGGCCCAGCATGGCCAGGTGGTTAGAGCGCTCGACTCGCAATCTGAGGGTCGTGGGTTCGAATCCCCGTCACACCAAACATGCTCGCCCTTTCAGCCGTGGGGCGTTATAATGTGACGGTCAATCCCACTATTCGTTGGTAAAAGAGTAGCCCAAGAGTTGGCGGTGGGTGGTGATGACTAGCTACCTTCCCTTTAGTCTTACACTGCTAAATTAGAGACGGTTAGCGCAGATAGCCCTCGTGTAGCTTTGCGCGAAATTCAAAAAACAAACAAACAAACAAACAATAATAATACAATGGTGGTTTATGTATGGTAAGCAGCTAAGATATGGCAAGAAGAATGTGCATGTGATTGGTTGAGAGATTGTGAGCTACGCAGTATAATTTAATATGGAAAGTTAATTTTTGTAATAGTAAACACAAAAACTTAGTAATTTGTGAACTAAATTACTCTTCTTTAATTTATATTATTTACAAATTACATTTCTCTATTTTGTTTCGATTTAATTAACAAAATAAATGCTTGATACATAAAATTAAAAGTATTTTACCCATACATCGTTTGAATAGTTACGTCTACTTCACTGACATTTTTATTAACCAATAAGATTGCAAATAACAAACACATAACACACTATGCAGTTTGTTTTTGTTGAATTTCGCGCATTCCCTGTCTCTGTTTAGTGTATATATATATATATTATTTATTAATTTATTTTGCGAGTGATTATTTTATGATTGTTTAGTAATAAGAGAGTTAGAAGCAATTATTTTAAAGTTTAGTTACATAACTCGGTAAGAGTCGTGCGTTGTGTTTTTAACTTATTGATGTCAAGATTATCGAACGTCGCGTGAAAATTATTGATGTTTAGAATATATTGAGCAGACGATTAAGTAATAAACATATAAATAGTGTGAGATGAGCGGGAAAAGTAGGCAGACAGAGCAGACGAGAAGTAAAGTTAAGTTACGAGAAGG